TCGTTATCTATTCAAAACAAAATATTTCTTCCAAATTCAATTGAGTCATATATTGAAGCACTGACTTAGAGTAAGCTTTAGGACAATTTAACTGATATACTCAGATCAAAGTCTATTATTTTACTTTCAGAAATATGTTAGTAGTTACACCAAAAAAATAGTTTTATCTTTTTTGATCTCAGTCTACTTGCGAAAATTCTTAAGCATTACAAGGATTATGTCTATTTTAGTCAGATTTTTTTTTCATAACAACAATAAAAGAATTTATTATCATAATATCATAAATTCTAAAACCTTTCTTAATTATATCTGTGACGATTTTAGATAGAAGAAGAGTTAGCGCTGATGGAACTACACTTTATTATATTTCTTCTTATCAAGAATCGCATCGCTTCCATACAAAACATATGCTTATATACTTATCCATCAGAGAGAAGGAAAGAATATGAAAGGAAAGAATGATAAGACCATATATGGGAAGAAAGAGATATAAGGACAAAGTATAAGGACGAAAATATCAGAACAATACGGTCATTATACCATACAGTGTACTCAAGCGGAAGCGCTACAATATCATATACGAAGCAATTTCGAACGTATCATCAAATAGACGAACAAACATAACAGTGTTGTTCAATATCTAACTGATTTCCGTTGTCAATATATACATTCATTACAACAAAGGTAGATGAAATTATTAGTTTTTTTTTTTCTTTCTCAGATTATATTCTATTCTCATGGGAGTCTGCTTGAACAATTGAGATTACATGAAGGAGGGACTAGGTTTATCAAATTATATTGAGAAGATGCTATCTTTAGAATATAGATCAATTTCTACAACTTCTTGTTTCCATTGATTTTTCTAAAAACAAAACTTTCATCAAACAGCAGAAACACAAAAATTGATTCATATTCTTCTTCAAATAGTCATATTAAAAATGTGATAAAAATTTTATTTTAATTTTCAAAAAAGAGCAATGACTGATTATTACCATCATTTGTTCGATTTCAATCAGGAAATCTGATGATCTTTCTATATCTTTGTTACATCACATTCACTGATTGGATTTATGACAAAATTATTTCTTCATAGAATAAAATTTTGAGAAAATGAGATCAAATTCATTTATAAAAATTTCCTTCGAATCTCAATATTGAATTTTCTACATCGACAATTCATTGTCAAATCTATTTACTTTCAATTAAGCTTTAGAGTAAAAGAACCATCTAAACAGTATTGTAACAAATCACAATATGGTTATCTCAAACAAGCAAACAACAAAAACATGAGTATCCTCATACATTAAAATAGATTGACATTTTTTTTTTCATGAGAAATATATATGCAGACATAAAAATAAAAGATTTATTTACTGTGAATATGAATGATTAATAATAACTGTAAACGATAGCAACCCCTTTAGGATATAATGTTACTTAAAAACTAATGTTTTCATAATAAAACATATAAGATGTAACGATAGCGTTAGCCTTATGGCAAAAAACAACATATCAACTAGTTATATTTATATTTAGTATGTTATTTGCACGCACACAAATATGTATATATTTGTCATATGATAAACTCTTTTCTTAGACAGAAAGAAAACTTTTCCTTATTATTCTGATAGATGGAAAGTATATTTGAATATGTAACATAAATGTTGTCTATTAAAAAATATGATACTCATCTATTTAGTCGTTTCTATCTTAGATTATATGAATATTTTATTTATTCTGATTATTCTAGTTGAACTGAATAATCATTAGAAAAAAGAAAAATGTGTGTGCTTAAAACATATTGAGCGGCACTTTTCAGTTCGTGCTTGTTGAACTCTTCATCACCTTTGCAATGAATGACTGTGAATGAGGTACATCCTGTTGTTGCTTCCCTAGAATTTGTGACATTGATAGTAATAAAAATGATAGTATAATTAGATTATTACTACTAATCTGTGGTTTAAAATTTTATACATTTTTTATTTTTATTATATGGAGAATAATCGAAAGAAAATCTTCAGTATTTTAGTTATGAGAATGATCTATATACTTCGATATTGGTATATAATAATAAATAGATTTTGTTTTGATCAAAACTATATCAGTTTGTTATAGGAACTGGTTTTAAGAATATTTCAGGCTTCCTTTCTTCTTTCTTTTTTTTTCTAATGAAACCTCAGAAGAACTCGTCATAGACACATAGATATGCATTTGCATACGTCAAAATAGGGAAAGGATGTTTTTTCGTTTCTCTTTTTCTCTCGAGATAAAGGAGGAGAAGAAAGAAGGAGACAAAGAGAACAAAATGAGATGATGATGATGGTGGAAGGATGTCTTTCTCTTTTCTAACCGAAAAATCACACAACTCAGACGTTCTAATTGAAGAGGGAATATCATTTTGTGTTTAATAACGTAAGTGTAAAGCAATAGTATCTTTAACGTTTCTAATAAGATACTAAGATTCAAAATATTCTCAAAAAAAATTTTTCTTTTTTATTCGTTCTTGTTAATTTTGTATGATTTTCATCTAAAAAAATGATAGATTGAATCAACGTATGTTTTAATTAGAAAACTAGATAATCAACAAAAAAAAAATCAATATTCAGTTCTTAAGATGTTTTTAGTCTTGGTGTACTATTTAGAATTAATCTTTGAAAACTTCCTATTAGTTGAATACAGTTATTAATTATTGTTTCTTAGTCAAATGAATTTTTTTCTAGCAAACCATTAAGATGCTAATTTAATATAAAATTATCTAGTTGTTTTTTTTTATTCAACTGTTTGTCTCGTTCTATTATTAGTTTTCATCTATTTTCATCAATAACGAGACAAGTACCTCAAAAGTAACCCATAATGATAATATAATTTCCGGTTGAAAACTATTTGTTAGCTATTGATTAGTTTATTCCATTCTATGTAGAATTTAACCACTTGTTTCTTATATACAATAATACATAAATTATTTTACGGGCAAAAGAGAAAAGAGAAAAGAGAAAACACTTCTTATTGTCACATATAATCGACGTCAATAAGAAAAACAAATGAGATATGAAGGTGATCGAAGCAAAAAAATAAGATTGACCTTAGAGTGAATAAGAGAATAAAGGTGTTTGATTAATTGTTTTTTGGAAAGAAAAAAAATTGCTAATAAAATTTTGTATTCTATTTATTATAGGCAATGATGATCAAGATATTTTTCTTCTTCTTCTTTTTTTTTCTTTTCAACAGAATACATTTCCATTTATATACAATGTAATGAAATCAGCCGAGCAAACAATGACAAAAAAAAAAGAAGCAAAAGAACTATTGATTTGACAAACAAAGTCTCTCACACCTCATTCTAGTTTTCAGCCGAGCTCATCACGGGTCTTGCAGCCGTCGGCAATTCCGTCTCTTTTTCTTTTTTCATTATTATTATTATTATTTTGATTGTTTTCTTTTTGCTTGCCGCCTAACTACAAAGTTTTATAGAGATAGAGAGTAAGACAAGAGAATAAAGGACAAACTAGAAAGTAGTAGAGTATTATAAAAATTTTCTTTTTCCTCTTTTTTACTATTTTATTTTCTCTCTTGACATTGTTGTCATCATGTTCACTACCATTCTTTGTTAAAAATGATCCATTCTTATTATTAATAGTTATACTTAAATGATAAAAACTCGTGAACTTACTGAGAGAGAGAGAGCGAGAGAGAGAGAGAGAATTCATTTATACTAATTGTTTATTAATGTGTGTAATCAAGCAAGTCAAGTAGGTGTATCTTTTATCATTTCAATTAATACTTGTTTTTTGAAAATGAAGAATCAAAACAAGAATATAAAAGATTGGTAACTATTTTTAGAAATCGGAAATAAAGAGAAAATATAACGAGTTTTAGAGGAAAGAAAATAAGTATAGAACAATATGAGCAACTCTCATTCTTTCTACGCAAAAAAAGAACAGATGAGCATTCGACAGCTCATGTGTCTTAGTATTCTAAAAAGAGAAATATATCAGTCGCAAACAACATACAAGTCATGTTAATCCCATGAGCATTTAGAAAGCAATAGTAATAAATGAGATGACATTTCTTTCTTCTTCTCTTTCGAAAACAATTATTGATGTGAGATTCTACATTTTTACATGGCATCATATAAATCATTTGATTTTTATCTTGCATAAATAATAGTTTCTAAGATTAATTAATAACTTTGAAAAAATAAGTTACCTTTCGATAATCATAAAGGAAGATATGAAATCATCATATATAATCTCATGAGAGAGTGAGAGAGAGAGTTAGTCATTAAAGAATAAATTCAATCAAAAATAATCGTTCATATAATACTAGAAATATTCATGAAATAGTTTCATTGATATCATTGTTTTTTTTCCGCTCTATAATAAGTATTTCAAGGTCAAACAACGGATGATAAACAACAGAAAATCCAATCGACTATGGCAAGCAGCTGTCATTTGTCAATAGAAAAACTTATGTTGATGTTTACTAAAAGCTAATGGGAAATCCTTGCTCGTTGTTCTTTATCATATATTTAAATAGAAAGAAAAAACAAATATATATATATATATCAATATCATTTGTATATATCAACTTAGGATTAGATACACTTAGTTTACAATTCAGAAAAAAACCCTCATAGTATTTCTTTTTCTATTAGCAAAAGAAAAAGAAAAAAGTTCTTTTTATAAAATAAATTAACAAAAAAGGAAAATTCACTCTTATATATTAAGTGTAATTAGTATAATGAAAAGAATAAATGTAACTTAGTTTAATTACAGAGTAAGATCTTATAGTCGCTTGTAGCAAAAAACAAGTTATAAAACGCTAGATACTATAGAAAACTATTGAGAATAATATTTATAAATAGTCAGTGTTCGAATTCGAAAATGTTTTTTTTTTGTTTTTGTTTAATCGATAATAGTTCTATACAAAATAATACACCTTATATTTATTCTTTTAGAACTTAGTATGAGTAATAGTCATTTTTTCATACAAAAATGCTAATGAATCAATGGCATTTATGTATTTACCTTTTTTTTCTTCTATCAAGTAAGTTCATGATATATTTTTTTCAACAATAAATTATCATATTTAAATATAAATAGCTTTTAAATCAAGTACAGTCCATTCAATTCAATGTTGTTCAGGTGATAGTTCATGTACAGCAGATCTTGTTGATTGTCCTGCAAATGTTTGTTTTAAATTAGGTAAAATATATCTGTTGATGAACTTTTTGAATTGGCTTTTCTTTTTTTTTTTTTTTTAATATTTCTTAGTGTTTGAAAAAGTAACAGAATACCGTGGATGTATGACTGATCTCTATAAAATGCTCGAATATCCCAATGTAGGCGGTGGAAATTTTAATGATGATGGTGGATCATCGAATGATCAATGTCAAAAAATTAATACACTTGGATCTGGAATGTCTTTATGTAAATGTACTAGTAATTTATGTAACTCATCTTCAAAATCTTCTTATATTTCATTTTTGATTTTGATTTTTATCCTTTTGGTTGTTTATCTATGTCCTTGTGTCTTTCTTTAATGATTATGTTCTGCATCAAATATATATATATATATATATATTCATTGTCATTCGTTCGGTCGATTATTATGAATTCTTAATTTTTCATCAATAATACAATATGATTGTCAACTTTATAACGAAATCAATGAATGATAAAGCAAGAAATTTAAACAAAAGAAAAGACTTTCTCATTAGAGAAAGTTTAGACTTTTTTTTTTGATTTTTGCAAATTACGGTCATACAGATAGCATAAACCAATAATAGAAAATCATAGACAGTAGTATCAATCGTAATAGATTATATGAAATGCATGCAAATTAATCATACACTCATCTAAAACTAATCTATCATGCTCACATTTACCCTCTTACTCGTCTTATATTTGTCATTCGAGAAAAAGAATCTTCAACGATTTGGCATCATCATCATATTTTTGTCGTTTATTTCGTACGTGATTTGTATGCCTTGTTTCTATAATATCTCGTTAAATACGATTATTAATCATATGAATCATTTATAATGAATGATTAAAATACTGTCGTGTATTGTCAGCAAAGACAGATTGATAGATATTCTTATTTTACAATGTTAAAAAGAATAAAAAATAAATATATCAAACATCGTTTTTTTTATGATCTATCTTCTATCAATTTTTTTGGTACAAGAAATATGCAATTTATTCGAAAATCTTTATTCTATGACCATGATACAAATAGATCTAAAATCTATTTTATGATTACTATGAATGATCAATAATAATCTGATTGATTTAATATTTGAATATAAAGCTGATAGAGACAAATCGAGATGAAATCTTCAATCCATCCAGCGTTACTAATGAAATCTTCATTATAATTAAATCAGAGTTATAATTAGTTGACAACTATATCAGTGTTTCATTTAATTGTTGTTAATCGCATAAATTTTATGTGAAATACTTAACACTAAATTTCAATGGAGTAGATTGACATATTTTCAAATCATATCGATGCCATCATTTTACTTTTAATATGTAACTACTAATATTGGTAGTTCTCTCTGATATGACATAATTTACAATGAACAAAGATTTTTTATAATCTGAAGTAAAGAAAAGTATAAATCTTATTTGATTTAGACTGAGAAATAGTTAGTAATATACATGAAGACTTCTAGCTGCACAATCACCATAAATTGGAAAATTCATGAACATTTTGAAATAATGCAATCAAATACTTGTCATTTGAACAATGTTAACAGTGGAACGAAATTTCTTCATTATTTGAAAAAAAAACGAATCCTGTCGAAACATTGAATCACTTCAAGAATATCATATGAAAATCTGGCAATCATGGCTATTACATTATCTTCATTTTCGTTTATTATTTAGCAACAACTTTTAAAATTTTTTGCAAGGTTCAGCTTCCATTTGCTTCTCTGTGACGCCGCCACTATTGGCGTCGTTAGCATTATCTTGCTGATTCATTATTACTTGGTACATATTTTACTAGTTGAGTGATGAAATATATGAAAATAACGGAATGATCTGAGTTTTACCAAAAAAACAAGAACAAACTGCAGATACAAAAATAATTTTTTTTTGTTGTAGACAATTGGAAGTCATGGGATTTCTGCACAGTGACTGAGTAACTAATAGCTGGATGATTTGATTTCTACCAACCATTTTTGATAGCCCTTTCGTGACTATTGACTGTCACAATGATGGAAGAAAAATACATAATTAAAACTTATTGTATAAGAAATTCTTCATAGGTTAGGAGATTTCCTTATATAACATAGGAGGACAAATCATTTTTTTATATGCGTTTAACTGGAAATTTCATTAGGAACACAAGCAATTAAGCAAAATCCATAGATCAACCTTTCTAAATACACGTTGAAGACATTCGATTTTCTCAATTCTAACCCGTTCGCTGTAAATAATAATTATTTTTAGAAACTCGAACTTTACTTTAACAACAGGATTCTTACGAAAGTCGTATATCATTCTGATCTACTTGATCTTTATTTCCAATAAAGAAACATATATCGTGTAATGTATTCACACAAGGACAAGATCTCACACTTTATCGTAAGATGAGCAATCAATTTTTGAATGAGACATTTATGAATACTTCTCAACACTAAGCAGTGACTGAGATATTTACTGGATTCGAAGAAAATACCCAACTGTTGAAAAAAAAGCATGTTTGTTACAGTGCACAATTGTGGAGAATGAACGGCGAACGACAGGGAATATGCATTGTCTTTCCAACTTTGTAGAAGAAAAACTAGTTTTTATCTTGCCATATACTATTTTTGAAATAATAATCTATAGACTTTTTTCATTGAATAAGAATCTTATTGAAATTAAACCTAAAAAATATTGATAAGAATGAATTCTATGCGGAAACTGTATTGAATAATCTAATTAAATTGAGAAGAAAATTTTAGAAGGTAATATGTGAGAATAAATTATGAGTGAATCTTAGTTTTTCGAAGAAACTTCATCAATAGAAACATATTTTAATACGACATTAAAATGTTATCAAATATTTCTAAATATATTTTCTTTCTCATGAGCTTTGTTTTTGATCTACTTATAATTGAAGAATAAAATAAATTCTACGTACGACAAGAAATTATTTTCTTTTCATCTTGTAATGTATTCTTTCTTCATTATAGATAATTATTAAACTACTAAGAATAAACTTTGATTTAAATTAAAGAGATAAATTATTTTCGCCTTCTTTGAACGTTTTCTATATTAAATCATATAAACAAGAGCTTTGTTTCTATATATCAATATCAATCGACCATTCAAAAGAACAAAAAAAAACTATAGACTATGTCAATCATATATGAATTATTGTTTTCATTTTACTTACTTACATTATTAAGTAATCATCAACAATACCAAGAGACTACCGAAACTTACAAGAAAAAATTTTCAATTTATCAATCGCTTTCTCATAAAACACTACCGGATTTTGCATTGTCGCTCATGCTAACTCAGAATATTATCATAAAAAAGCTCTCTAAAACCTTTTATGCTGATTTTTTTCTAGGTCAACAAACATTTTGCCAAAACCGTTTTTTTTTATCTATTCGGATAATAGAGCATATTGAGTTGTTCTATTTTTCAAAAATGAGTTTTAAATAGAAGAATACCATCTTGAAGATTTTTACCGAAACATCGATATGTATGTGATCTATGAATTAAAATGGCTGTATTTTCTGTAAAAGAAAACCGATTTGAAACAAAAAAGTTACTCTTTTCTAGGCAATTCGATATACCATAAAATCTAGACAGATAACAAAAAGAAAAGTTTGTTAATTTGAAAAGCCAGCATATAAGGACCTAAAGAGATTCCTTATGGTTATATTCGGAATCAGCACAGTTGATAATCCATAATGCAATAGCTTTTCATGAGAAAGCGATTGATCGGTTGAAAAAGTTCTCTCGTAAGTAAACTTTTTTATACGTTTTAATTACATGACGAACTATTTCAAAAAGAGAGTGAAATCTAACAAATATTTCCTAGATGAGAGAAACCAATTCTTTCAATACAAATTGTTTATTTTTCACAAAGTTAACACCTAATATTTTTCTATTATTAGTACATTTCTAAGAAGAAATTAAAAGAAGTTAAGAAGTAATCAATCATTATTCATTAGTCGTGTTAAAAACTGTTTTCAATAGATTGAAAAGAAATCCAACATATATGTTTATGTTGTTTCTTGTCTGTTCTTCTAACTGTTTGATGTTCAGTCAGATTTTTTCTAAGTTCTTTCCTATCTATTTTTCTCTTGTACGGAAACTTTATTTTAAGTAATTCATTTTAATCGTTTCATATAGATCAATTAAAAATAATTCCTCATACTTCTTGAGATGCTTCTGATATAGTTAAAACGATAAATGTGCAGAAAAACTCCTGATCTATATATCTTTCACAAATTATTTTCAAACATATTTTTTATTTGTAATAAGATCCTAAAAAATTATCCCAGGAAAATTTTTTTAACTTATTCATTCATGTGGCTTGAATTTTTATGTAAGAACACTGTTTCAGCGTGTTAATTTACATTATGTTTAGAATATTGATCATCACACCATGAATGAGCTGACAAGGGACAGAGAACAATCTGTAACTGCATAGATACACAGTTTTGAAACAAATACGTAATTCAATATCAAAATTCTAGGATTTCATGGAGTATATCGTAAATATAATTACAAAATTTCATCTTGATTATAAAAAGTAAAAAGAAGAATTAAAATTCTATTAGCTTGTCTCTAAAACTAGAGAAGATCTTTTAGTATTTAAATATACATATGAACATAATTTACTTATGTCTATAGTTGTTTCTAAAATAATATATTAAATCTATTATTATTGCCCATAATTCATTATTAATATAAAAACCGACCAATTTCTATGATAATATTACGAATAAGTCGATGCATAACCCGATTTCGAACATAGATGCGAAAAAACATTGAAATTACAATCGATTCCCGAACTAATTAAAAATCTACAAAAATCAGAATAAAAATGTAGTAATCTATTCATATATTTGAAAGTGACTGATATAAAAACCCAGTGCTGCTGTAGAGATTGATATACTGTAGTAATTCAGTACCACTTCTATTGCAAACAAACATCAAAATATGCTATAAAATCTTAATTATCTGTAAAACTCAATGAATTACATTATTGAAACTTAGTGAAATACTTCATTCGTTTAATTTTTATATTTATATTTCAATAAATTCAAACATATTTTAATAGATACTGCCGATTTACATATATTCCTGAAAAAAAAATAGTTGCAGTCGATTTATTTTCATTATATTCCTAAGATATTAGAAAAACATTTTTGGAAAGTCATTTACATATTTTGTATTACGCGTATATTTGTCGTTCGATTTAATTACCACTTAAGTTTCGCTTTCCAATTTATTATTACTGAAGAGATCGTTTTTTTTACAAAAATGATTATGATATAATCTGATAGAGCATGAAATTTTCTATCGTTTTATATGTTCATATTTCGTTTTGCATTTCTCAGGTGAATAAAATAATTCGAGTATAATGAAAATATGCGGAATTAACAATGAAAATTTTTCACAGTTTGCTTCTTAGTCACAAACACGTATTATAAAGTGACCATACTAATTTATTTATTACTAACAGCGTTCGTTTTTTTATTTCTTTCATCTATCATTTTTCACTTACCATGTTTCCTATTTCTTCTTCTTTTTGATCTTTTCATCTCTTTAGTGTTACTTTCTCTTCTTTTTTTAAAGAAACAATTAACAGTGAATGCATGAAGAAGCTATAATCGTGTTTTTATTTCTCTTTATCATCACAATTAAGAAGGAAAAAACCAATATGTGTTCGAATAGATAGCAGCTTAGTTTGTAAAAAAGAAAAAAGGCTTTTTTTTTAAATAGTTTACATCACTCTTGATACAACTGCTCAAACATAGTTGTGTTTGGAATATCTATTTGGTATACAAAAACATTATTTTATGACAAACTAAGCTGTTGTCCTATTCAAATATATCTTTTTTTTATTTCTGATTGCGATGACAATGAGCATTAAAAACTCGAATATAGTTTGTTCATTCTTTCTTTATAAATCATTTCTTTAGGAAATGAAACGAACAAAAGGAAGGAAGGAAGTATAGAGAACGCAATAAGCAAACAGTTCTTATACTAATAAGATAACTCATATCCAACAAGCAAACTGTGAATAAGGCTCATAATTAAAAAAGTTGCATCTTTTGTACTATTTTTCAAATTTCTTATTAAAATAAGAATAAGTATTTAGGAAAAAAATGATATATTTCGATAGTGCCTGAACTTTTCTATAATTCTGTATTTTAGAAGTGTTTATTTGTAAAAATTTCCCTAATTGATATTTCAAGCGCTAGAGAAATTCATATATGACAATCTACATTATATATCATATCTTTTCCACTGGGTTCTCTGTGCTATCGAGAGTTTAAATGATCTGATTTATGTAGAAATTCATTCAAGATTGCACATTTCTCTGCATTGAGATCTAGACAAACATATGAATAATTTATTTTAATACATTATAGAATTGATAGATAATCATTCAGCGTATATTCTGACGCCTATAAATTGTGCATGAATGTAAATTCTACCATTGGATATAAGATATGGACATTAAACTTAAATAAAGTATCCATTTTAGATATTTTAGAACGGGTTTGTGTTAATACAGTTGAGAGTGTGGACTTGTATAAGATAATATACAGAAATAGATGCTGATATTCATTTGGAAGAGTAGAAACTGCAGTTCATATGAATATGAACTATAGAATTATTCAACAATATTTGAAATCTTGATTAGAAAATTATTAAAAACTAAAAATTTCTAAAACATAGAATGATAGAGAATTCCCCAACAAAATTCAGGTATGTAATTTACATTCCAAATATGAAATGTTTATCTTGGTAATATAATAAAAAAAAATAACTTTTTTATTTGTTTAGAAATTAGAAGCAGACTTGAGAAGTTTAATTCTAAACTCAACAGTCAGAACATTCTTCATTTTGAATGACTTTCGTGTTTATTTTTCGGATAGATTTTTCTTATCGACGAAAATATGAAAAGTGTATCAAGAACTCGATAGGCTTGTTCTGATCTCCGATATTTTCGGTGAATATCGATCGGTTTATATGAGTTTGTGCGCCATTAATGTTTATTCTGAATTGAGAATATTTCGCTTTCATATATACAGATTTTTGTGCTTTACAATTCACACATTTTTCCCAAGACGTTTGTTCCGAATCTAGAGACTCGGAACTAATATCCAGCGGCACTGGAAAGATGTTCTTTTGAGTGTATGTTTTTGAAAGTTAGATACATCCTACAAAAGATTTATTAGCATTCCATGTTATGCAGAATTGAAGTCTAAAAACATGAAATAGAATTAAACCT